CCCCCCCCAAAAAACCCACTCTTATAGATATAAACCTATGCTTCTTCGCCATGCTCAAATTGGAGGACGCCATGGCAGTCCCTCCTGGGAAAAGGGGCGGGATGGAGGACGCGTCCTGCAAAAGGAGGGCGGCCACGGCTGAGCCAAAACCCACTCAGAGAAACATTAGACCCATGCTTCTTCGTCATGCTCAAAATGGAGGACGCTATGGGAATTTCATCTGGGAAAGAGGACGGGATGGAGGACGCGATAGAAATAGTAAACCCATGCTTCTTCGTCACGCTCAAAATGGAGGACGCTATGATAATCCCTCCTGGGAAGGGGGACGGGATGGAGGGCGCGTCCTGGAAAAGGAGGATGGCCACGGCTGAGCCAAAACCCACTCAAGAGAAACATTAGACCCATGCTTCTTCGTCATGCTCAAAATGGAGGGCGCTACGGGAGGGAATTCCACCTGGGAAAGAGGACGGGATGGAGGACGCGTCCTGGAAAAGGAGGAGGGCCGAGGCGGGCCACTCTTTGCGGGTCAGTCAGAAGCTCCTCAACGGGGAAGCCGCCTCAAGGCCTGGAGCGGCCTCCAAGGAGCCCAGCGATGAGGCGGCGGCTCTCGACTTACGCCTGCCGCCAGCCCTGCGGCCTCTGCTCTCCTCGGGGGAGACAGATAATGCCTGCCGCCCTCCGGGGGAGAGAACTTTCTTTCCGGGGGGAGAAAGCCAGCCTGGTCTCCGGAGGAAGGGACTGTTATCTCCCGACTTGTGGCAAGGGAAAGGCGAGGGGCCCAGTCCCAAGGGGAGCAAGGAGGCTCCTCCTGAGGAGAAACCCCACTCAGGTGAAGAAGAAGAAGAAGCAGAAGCGGCGGGGGTTGGGGTTGCTTTGGCGGGCTCCCGCTCACTCACCGTCGGCTGCGCGCTGCGCTGTCCCCTCCCTGCCCTTCCCGGGCTCCTCCCGCCGCCGGCGGCCGCCGCCCTCCTCTTCTTCTTCTTCCTCCTCCTCCTCCTCCTCCTCCTCCTGGCCTGCCGCTGGGGATCCGCCCGCGCCCCGCTCCGCTCCCTCCGCCTCAGGCCGGTGTCGCAAGATGGCGGCACTTCCGGGAGAAACCAAGGCCGGCGTGGGAGGGGAAGAGCGGCGGCGGCGGCGGCGGCGCAAACAGGAAGGGAGGGAGGATGGGCGGTCTCCCCCCTCTGTGGGGGAATGGTATCGCCCAGGTGCCACGCCTCCTCCTCCTCCTCCTTCTTCCCTGAGGCGCGGCGGTTCCAGTTCTATCTGAGGAAGAGGAGGAGGAGGAGGCGGCGGCTCCTGTCAGGATGCGGCATGAGCTCCCCCAACGGCTCTCCCTCTCCTCAGCCTCCGCTTCTGTCGCTCCGCCGATGCCGTGAAGCCGCCTCGGAGCTGGCCGTGATGCTCCGCGCCGCCCTGGGCCCCGGCGCCGCCCGGCTCTTCTACTACCCGACCCTCCTGTACACGCTGGTGAGGGAGCGGCTGCCCGGCTCCCAACGGCCCTGGTTCAGCCGCATCGACCAGGCCGTCCTCCTGGGGGCCCTGCCTCTGAGGGGACGCTGCCGGCAGGTAACCCACGACGACGGCCCTTCTGGGCTGGGACAGGCCTCAGCAAGGCCCAACACAGACACACACTGCGGGGATAACCCGGTTTGGGAGCGCTTGGACTGCCCCGGCTCAGTGCTAGGGAATTCTGGGAACTGTAGTTTTGTGAGAGACATTTAGCCTTCTCTCTCAGGGAAGAGCTCTGGTGCCACAGTAAACTACAATTCCCAGGATTCTCTAGCACTGATCAGGGCCTTTGCAGACTGCCAGAAATAGTGCAAATTGAGTCCACTTTAACTGCCCTGACTCAGTGCTAGGGAATCATGGGAACTCTAGTTTATTGTGGCACCGGAGCTCTCTGATAGAGAAGGCTCAGTGTCTCAGAAAAAACTACAATTCCCATGATTCCCTAGCACGCCAGGGCAGTTAAAGTGGACTCAATTTGCACTATTTCTAGCAGTCTGCAAAGGCCCTGAGTCAGGGCAGTTCAAGCGGTCTCAAACTGGATTATTTTTGCAGTGTGTTTTGGACCCAACATAACTTTCAAAGACACTTTTGATGTAACTAGGCTGAAGGAAAGGGGGCCATTGGAAAACCTAAGGTACAACTAACTACGCTGCAGAAACAATCCAGTTTGGGACTGCTCTGCCATGGTCCAGTGCTAGGGGATTCTGGGAACTGTAGCTTTGTGAGAGACATTTAGCCTTCTCGGTCAATTGTACAATAAAGTACAATTCCCATGATTCCCCAGCACTGAGCCAGGGCAGTTTAAGCGGTCCTGAATTGAGTTATTTCTGCTCAGTGTTTGTCAGAGAGCTTTGGTGCTACAATAAACTACACTTCCCAAGATTCCCCAGCACTGACCCAGGGCAGTTAGAGTAGTCCCAAACTGGATTGTCTCTGCGGTGTAGTTGTACCTTAGGTTTTCCAGTGGCCCCCTTTCCTTCAGCCCAGTTACTTCAAAGTGTCTTTGAAAGTTATGTTGGATCCAAAACACACTGCAGAAATAATCCCGTCTGAGACCGCTTGAACTCCACTAATCAGGGTTGGGTCATTAAGAAACATCCCAAACTATGAACATCTTCCAGACTACCGTTAAGTCCATTATTACAAAAAGCTAAAATGGACAGCCTGGCAAATGCTTAATGGGATTAACTTCTTTATGGTAAGTGAGGGCTGAGATAAATCCAAAACACACTGCAGAAATAATCCAGTTGGAGAATGCTTTAACTGCCCTGGCTCACTGCTAGGGAATTCTGGGAACTGTAGTTTTGTGGGACATTTAGCCTTCTCTGTCAGAGAGCTCTGGTGCCACAATAATCTACAATGCCCAGGATTCCCTAGCACTGAGCCAAGGCAGTTAAAGCAGTCTCAATCTGGATTGTTTGTGCAATGTGTTTTGGACCAATGCTGTGCTGTTACAGCTCCCAGAATCCGCTCCTTCCAGCCAAGGCGACCAGATGTCATAACCCCACAACAGGGGACAAGGTGCCACAAAATGGAGGACACTGAAGAAAAATGGAGGTCATGGCTAAAGAAAAGCTCAAAACACTCCTAGAAATATACATTCAAGCTTCTTAGTCCTGCTCAAAATGGAGGACGTTTTGGAATTCCTCTTGGACAGAGGTTGAAATGAAGGACCTGTCCTGGAAAAAGGAGGATGTCTGGTCGCGCTGCCTCCAGCCTTTCTGACCAGGGGATTCTGAGTGTTACAGCCTGAAGAAGGGAACTTTTCCTCTGTGGTTGCTGCTCTTCTGAAATGTCTTCCTTTCCCTACCCTTTAAATGTGTGCCTTGTGGGTCACTTGCAGGGTGACCGGATATCTCTTCACAGCAAAGGAGGACAAGACACCACAAAAAAATATGTCGTACATTCAAGAAGAATGGAGGGACATGACCTTTAAAAAAGCCAAAAACACTCATATACATTCATGCTGCTTAGTCATGCTGAAAATGGAGGACATTTTGTGGAATTCTGCCTGGACAGAAGGCGGAAATGTAGGACATGTCCTGGAAAAGGAGTACATCTGGTCACCCTGGTCGCTCGAAGCTAATGAATTCAGAAGAACCAGCACTGATAACAGGTTACTGCTATCAGTGCCACGATCAGTAGCTGTAGGGAAAGGGATCTTGCAGCACCTAATCATTATAGAAATAATGCAGTTTGAATGTCATGGCTCCATCCTCCAGAATTCTGGGATTTGTGGTTTTGTGAGGCATCAGTGCTCTTGGGTAGAGAGGGCTAAAGACCTGGTAAAACTACAAATCCTAGGATTCCATAGGAAGGCGTTACAGCACTTAGGCTGTGTCTGTACTACAGAAATAATCCAGGTTGACACCGAATTCCATAGCATTGAACCATGGCAGTTAAAAGTTGGTAGTATGAGCTTTCAGTTATATCTACTTCTCCAGATGTATTTGAGGAACTAGACTTAAGTCTAGGAAAGCTCATGCATTAGAAAGAACTTCTTTCTTTTAGTTAGTCTCAAAGGTGCTACAGGATCTCTCTATGTACTGATTCTACAGACTAACACTAACACAAGGCTATATCTTTGAATGGCAGTTCAAGTGATACCAACCTGGATTACATCTGTAGTGCAGATGCAGCCTTCAAGCGGTGTCAAACTGTATTATTTCTCCAGTGTAGAGACACCCTTAACTGAGGAAAAGATGTTGCAGCATAAGCTTTCGTAGACTTGTTCACTTTCTCAGACATATGGATCTGAGGAAGTAGACATATGCTACGTCTTCAAAAATGCTACAAGATCTCTTTGCCTCATCTGAATACACCAG